GAGGTGAGCAGTGTCAATTCAAGCTGCTTGTCAACCCTCCTCACTCCACTGCCAAAGATTACTAGCCCCTCAGGTCTCCCAGCAGAGCTGCTCTAGGAGCTTTGTCTATCCTGGCGCCATCAGAATGATCCTGGTTAGAAAGTCTATTGTTTTGAGTATTGAAGCTAACAGGTTATTATGAAGGAAATGAGTTTGGAGAGACTGCATGTGCCAGCAGATACAAGGAAGGAGCAGCCGCCGGAGATGATGGAAGGGGGTGGTAAAAAGTAGGTGGTGCTAGGCTTATTGCAGATATTGCAGAATATTACAGATATTGCAGAAATGAGGGAAAGAAGAAGAAAGCAACTCCCATAATCTGACAGAGGGAATCTGCAGTTTAGCTAGGAATCTGATCCAGGTTCCCTTTGTACCCGTGCTTCCCTTAGAACATCGTGAACATGCTTCCACTTGACCTCGGTCCAGGCCACAAGGTTCATCTGCAATCGAAATAAATAATTATTTAAAACAACAGCAGCCACAGCCACCAGCAGCATCAAATGAAAGTGACTTTGCAAGGAGAGAATGCATCAGCAGTCAATTGACATGACATGCCACTTGCTCGCTGTGGCAGCGAAATGATGGAGGTTCCAGGAACCATCCTGCCACCAGAGCCCATTCATCTTAATCAACACCTCTGGGCACACCGCACTTCATCTGAACTGTGAGTGCCTTCCTTCCCTAAACGTCGTTTCATTTTTGTACCTGTGCTTGAGAGTTGTCAGCCCATGGACACATCTTTTTTTTGTAAGAACGCTGGCTCAGCATGAACTGGAAAGTGATTACGTGCAACTATGTTCAGAGACCTGACGAACACAGATGTAACCGAGTGTACTAGATCAGATCCAAGCCATTTGTTTTATTACATTACACCTTGCAGGTGCTTAGTCTTTCCTGCCCCGTCCATCCTCAGCCTTTCATTTCACAGCCTAAGCAGAAGCCCTACATAAGTGATTGAAGGCAAGTTACCAGCCTCTGATCCCCCACGCTGCTGTGACTTGTGTCAAATTACCGCTAGAGTGATTTGGTAATCCAAATCAATGCAATAATCTGATCTGTGGGGAGCAGCACTCTAACACTGCTGTGCTGAGTGGCCACAATGGCACAAGCACTGTCAGCTTTTCCCAGAAGCTTTTTGACCTACTGAAGCCTGCACGCATATATTGAGCAACTGATGACACAGGGAAAAATCTGACACATTCAGGCTGTTAAAAGGCACAAAACATATACTTTAAGTCCCAAGAAAATGCTCCAATTAAACTCCATTTTTGAACAAGAGTATATTTAGCCCAGCTATTATTAAAGGTTACTGCTATGTAGTGTGGACTTCATGCATTTGAAGAGCATTTTAATGAACAGAAAGAAAAATATTTACGTTGGTGGATAATATTCAGATTATAAGAAAGGATGGGGGGAGTATCCAAAGGTTGAGAGGTCTATCTCAGTTAAGTACATAAAGGATGGACATCTACCCAGGCTGCCTGAGGCTGCAGGATTCAATTTGTCTAATGAAAGGGTCTCAAAACACCTGGTCTGCCTTGGTTCAGTTCAGTCAGGCTGAAAAGTACTGCATGAACTTGCATGTAGAAAATTTCACACTTTTTTAATATCCATTGAGATTTCTTACAAGATCAACACTGGAAGACAGGCTAAAAGTTTTCTTCCAAATACAATATGAATAAATCATGTGATTCATTAATTACGACTCTTTAGAAACTAGACAGGTGCAGAAGGTCTGCTAACTTGCTTTTATAACATACCTGAAAAATACCACAGAACAGAAAGAAAGAAAAACTGGCTTGTTAACCCCCCATCACCCGAGACCTTATGGTATCACCAAAGATTATTTCACAGTATTCTAATTCGAAGGGTCATTAACCCTTTAAAAAGCAATGCCAGTATGTACTAGAAGTATGTACAGTACTGAGCTCAAAAAAGCTCAGTGTAAGATACCAGATGAAAGCTGGATACAGATTTCCTTTTAAACAAAAAAACAAGCTTGCCTCTAGTCTCTTATATTCAAAGACAGAGTTGAAAAATATAAACTAAGAATTAGGGAGAATTATTCTACCAAAACTGAACATGGAACATTGTCGTGGTTTAACCCGAGCTGGCAACTAAGCACCACCCAGCCGCTCACTCCCCCCCCAGTGGGATGGGGGAGAGAATCGGAAAGATAAAAGTGAGAAAACTCGTGGGTTGAGATAAAGACAGTTTAATAGGTAAAGCAAAAGCCACACACACAAGCAAAGCAAAACAAGGAAACCATTCACTACTCCCCATCAGCAGGCAGGTGTTCAGCCATCTCCAGGAAAGCAGGGCTCCATCACGCATAACGGTTA